TTTTTACTGTAGCAGCTATGGTGGCACGTGGAGTTGGAATCATTGCTTTATTGGTAAACAGGCTGAAAGCTGCTGCTTACCTGTTTCGTAGCTGTTGACTTTCAAGTATAGTGCCTCAGCCCCAGCTTAATGTTGGCTGATTCGAACGCCAGAAAACGTGCCTGCTTTTGATCTACCGCAGGCTACTGATTGCCGTTGGATTGGTCTACTCCGCTGGCCATTACAACAAGACTTACTCTGCTGTATCCTATACTCACTGTTGACACTCCTTTTACTGCTGAGTCCTGAGAATCTTATGCCACCGTGAACTCACACGGCCCCCTGTCACTGAGAGAACGGTTACTGGTGACTGTGATGCTGACAGTCATGTTCTAACTAGCTGTTACTGACATACTACTGGCCGTTAGTGAATCAACTGCATCAGTCACGCCGAATTGGGCATTGTTGGTTGTTACTGCCGGGGTCATGGTAGTGCAAATCCGGAAGGCATGTCACCGTAGCAGCCGTGAAAAGAATGTTGTGAATGCATGCAGCAGGCGACATGATATGTTTTACAGCATGTCCATCATTCTGCCCAAAAATTCATATGACGACTCCGATTACTGGCTACAATACCTCAATCACTATTATGTATTATATTGACATTAATCAGAGTGCTGAAGGATCCGGTGTCCCGTCTTCGAGAGGTTGGACCAGGGAGTACTAAAAACAATCTTCGATGTTTTGTCGAGCCTGGCACTAGAGAGGTTCCGGGGTACGATTTTCCGTGCCAAAATCCGTGTGGGCGCTACGGATTTTTTCCAGGCGTGCTCCATACGATTTTTCGGCACGGAGGATCCGTGTGGACTGGCTTTCACACAAACCATGTTTTGTATGGAGATTTTGCGTCATCGGGTGCAGAAAGATTTTTCGCGTACAAATTTGGTATGAGAAACATGGATTTTCCACAGGAAGTTTTGATTTCGGTACAAATTTTCAAAATAAAAAGGCATAGCGCGGGAATGTGACGTGTTTGCGATCGTAACCTAGGCAATGACGGCAAACACATAAGTTCCGTACTCCGGAACATTTCACTGCTCGAAAACGACGTATAAAATATCCGAAGCGCCTCTACGCATTTTGGCACGAAAAATCGTACTCCGGAACCTCCCTATTAGAAGCCCGATAATTTGCTCCGGAAAAACGTGTATTTTATCCACTTCCCGTATACCTACAAGGTACAACGTTTCATAAAAATCGCAGTGTTGGTTTCACAACTGAACACGGGTTTTCACACACGTGTCCCTGGGTTCTTCCAAAATCACATGATGTCGATTCGGAATCCTCAGTGACAATCATGATTAGACCTAGTCCGATTCAAGCCAAGGTAGCGTACTAGTATACTATCATGCTGAACGGGTAAGAAACAAAGAAATCCAAGTATCAAGCATCGATTTTACCCAACATCTCGATATTATGCTCCGATTTTGCCGTCCGCCTTTTCAATTCCTCGAAATTTTGCCGAAAGCTGGCAGGATCTGTCTCTGCTCGGCCTACTCGGCGGGGATCGGACCAGTGACCAGTTTCCATTGGTTTCAGTCGAAGATCTGTAATGATTAATTTTGAAGAAATAGTTGTCATTGATTTTTTCATGCTGGCAGCTAGCTGCTAATGACAGACTTGGAAAAATGGACAACGCAGGACATAGCCCAGCCCAAGCCAGTGTTCAAGATTCTCTGCCTCCAGTAGCTGTGGAGGAGAGGTATTATGATAAACATGACCCACGTCCTGTCGCTCGACAGGGAATGCCAATGGTGGATACGACTGTCATGAGCAAGGATGGCAAAGAAACACTTCAGCTGAGCAGCTACAAGCACTCTGGACGTCCTCTGGTCCTAAATTTCGGAAGCTGTTCGTGATCAGAATGGGTAGAAGCGTTCAATGAACACTTCATACAGCTCGTGAAAGATTTCCGCGACGTTGCCGATTTCTTGGTCATCTACATAGCTGAGGCACATCCCACTGATGGATGGTGGGCAGATGATGCACCTATTCAAATAAAATCACATGCCAATGTGAAAGAGAGATGTGCTGCAGCCAACAATATGTTCTCTGTGCTCCGAGAAATTCCTTGCGATGCTGCTATTGATGCAATGGATGATCAGACAGCCATTGCGTACCGGGCCTTGCCGGCACGTCTATACATCATTGACGATGGCATTGTCAGCTACCAAGGTGGCCCAGGTCCATTTGGGTATTATGTAGCAGAGGTCCGCACCAAATTACAGCAGCAATGTCGCAGTGCTTAAACAACAGAGATACTGCCAGCGCAGCCAGTGTACTCTTGTCGGCAGCGAGACAGAACTTTTGACGACAAATAGCCGAAAGTCTCTAAACAGGAGATGGCTATTGTCTGATAGCTGTTTGTGCAGCTTCTGTCACTGCTTGGCACCTACCGCTACAGGCAGTGTGGCTCTGATGAAGACATTTACATGGCGCAAAGTGAGCAACTTGTCCTCTCCTGTATCACGTCATCCTTTCACCCGTTCACGACATAGCCGTTCCCCTGGTCTGTCGCCATGTATAGACGGTACGTGACCTCGCACTACTCCCGTCCTATGCACGATACCATGCTCTGCTCAGTGCTGGGCATGGCCTCCCTGACTCTTCCCTACATCTACACTCATATGTCTGTAAAATAAAGCGCTTCCTTAGGTCAGTGCATGACACAACACACAAGTAGAGACACTATCTCCGTTTGCTCAGTGATACGGTTTTCCGGTTGCAGCTGTTAGCTTTTGAAGAAGATGTATTAACGCTCAACAGTACACTGTAGTGTAGATCTAGATGTGCCATTGCATTACGCATCACGCCATCTGCCTACTCTGTTGCTGTAATGGGATCATCCAGCAAGCACCTCTAGCCTCTCTAGCCCTGCCACTGTGAATTGTATTATGTTTGTAAAAAGAGGCTTGTGTTTTTTAACCTCTAGCCCCCTTTAGGATATTCGGTCAAAGCAACTGTGACAGACCAGTGTACTTTCCGACTCCTTCAACTGGAGTTACACTAGTATGCGCTGATACTGATAGGCGTTTGATTTACTTTAGCTTGTACGACATTTTTTCTGCCGATAATTACAACGCGTGAACGGAAGGAAAAGAAAAAAGACAAGGCCACTTGAACTAGGATTAGGATATTGGATCTGATTTAACTGGACACTGCACTTCTCAAATTCATCATGCTCATACTTTAGTATAATAATATTGCCTCCATTCAACAATTGTGAGTTCCTTTAGAGATGGCAAATTCTTCTGCAGCTTTAAAACTAGTTCTTTTCTTTGAAAATTTCCAACATTTTGCGCGGTATTTCCCGACAATTGCACAGGTTCGTTGGAAACGTCTTACATGTGCACGTTCTGTGTGTGGCCCAGGCAGGTATGTTCACATTCCTCAGTGTAAGGGGTGAAGCAGTATACAGTGAGGTTGCTATTGAAGTACATCCTTTGAAGCATCCCGTCATCCTCCGTTGTATACAATCATTGTTTTGCTTGCTATGGTAGCTTACACTGCGCGACCTTGGCCGTGCCATGGTGCATTGAGACTTTTGACTTTGAGTGATGGGCCCAGCCATTGCCATGGCGGTACTGAAGCCGTACTATGCTTGTGCGTGCCATGATCGGTGGATGGCACAGGCCTGTGGCTGACCGAGAGCTGGACCACTGCCGGCGCCTCCTGCTGCACGGAAATTATTTCGTTTCTCTGCTGCGTGGTTACACAGCTTTTACAACACTGAAAACAAGTTTTAGAATGCATTAAACCCTGCCCAGTGCACCATTACTGAACACTTATTAGCGGCATCCAAAACTTGGCTCCGGCAACTCGTGAAAAAATTAAATTGCAGAAATCGTTTGTATACCGAAGTTCGGAATAAAAATCTCTCTATTTAAATTAATACATCATAATTATCTTGTACTCCAAGCTTTGGAGAAAAAAGGATGCAGGGAACAGAGTCCGAGAAGATACTAGTAGGTGAAGTTTAGGAAAGTCTCATACACTGCTACATGCTATGCTGTAAAGTGAGAAGCTTTCGCTAGAGATTAAATTTATTTCGCTATTCTCGCAATCATCATACATCATTAGTTTGCGAATATAGATCGCCGCAGACCTCTCCATACATTGATTATACTTCAGTAGACAGTACAAGATCCGACTGAAGATAATATAGAATCGCAAAAGTATCTCATCGTGAACCAGCCCAATTTATGAAAATGCTAAATTTGCACGCCACGAAAGTTTGTCACTTTACAGTAGTAGTCTGGTCATGGACTTGAAGTCTTGCTTGATAGCATGACTGTTGATTGTGTTACGCTCAAATGGCCACAAGACCAAGACGTACTCTACGGACCGATTTGTGGTTGCAGTCAGGAACCGGGACTGCTTTCCATACAGTGTGTCCTCCGCCTTTGCAACATACTGTCATTCTAAAACATGATCACTATTGTAGTCTGTACGTCACATGATGTAGGTCTACACTATCAGCAGGGAGTCGTCAAAATACTATTTTGACGGTATTTGACGGCTCCCTGCACTACTGAGTAAAATCTGTCGAGGCAACCACTCGGACAAGGCGACCACCTGTCCTAGAAGACCACCGCAACCAGGACCAATGGATGCTATTTCCAGTCAAATGACCCTCGATAAGGCGACCACCTGGTATCAGAGACCACGTTTTGAAGGTCCCTTGAGCGGTCGTCTTTTTAGACAGGTTTCACTGTACTATATGACTGTACAGTTTAGTACGTTGTACACTCAGTACTGTCGTCGTGAGTGCAGTGTCGACATGTCATGCACGAGTGGCTATGATTTTTCTTGTTGCACTGGCATGCCAGTCATTGTGTAGCATTGTGGCAAGCATCTATCACTCCAGCTCTGTCAGCCAAAATTTCTTCAAAATACTAGTACGAGTCCAGTAGGACACTGGAGCTGACCAACTACTTGTAACTAATATTCTTATTACTTACCGGCAGTGAGTGTGGTATCTCGGCGCCGGAGTAACAGGCTAGTGTATGGCTTCCGCAGCCACGAATGCACAGTTGCAGAACGGGATCGAGGTGGGAGGGCTGAGCACGATCAGCCGATAATGGACGGCGACCACTCAGAAGGCGTCGTCGGCACTGAGGGATTTGACTCCGAGTCGCTGCCGCCGGTGGCTGTGCAGGAGGTGAACTACGACATCAATGACCCGCGACCAGTAGTTCGACAGGGACAACCGATGCTGGATACAACTGTGTTGACGCTTGATGGAAAAGAAACTCTTCAACTTAGCACCTTCATGCGTTCTGGACGCCCATTGGTGCTAAATTTCGGTAGCTGCTCATGACCGCCGTGGGTGAGAGCGTTCAGGCAGACGTTCATTTCACTGGTGAAGGATTTTAGCGGCGTTGCTGATTTCTTAGTGGTGTACATACCAGAAGCGCACCCCACAGACGGATGGGCCTTAGATCATGCACCTGTGCGTGTCAAGGATCACAAAAGTGCTGAGGAGAGGAGTGCGGCTGCAGAACACATGTTCTCCCTGTTCAACGAAGTTCCCTGCGCCGCCGTCCTGGACACGATGGACGATCAGACATCAGTGGCGTACCGCGCCATGCCCGAGCGTCTCTACATCCTCAAGGATGGCATTGTGATGTACCAAGGCGGTCCAGGCCCGGACCACTATGAACTTGCAGAAGTGAAAGCGTGGCTTGAAGCACATTGCAAAGACTTACAGAAATAGACGGTGTCTGGTGATACAGGAGGTGAACGTATGCACATTGAATCCATTGGTACTAGTACCTTTGTCATGCAGGAATAGTAGCGTTCGTAGCCAGTGCTAGCACGCATGCGGGCCGCACGGCCAGGAACATTGCACAGAGTTGTTTTGACGGAGAATCTGAATGACGAGAAGAAACCCAAAGCCACTAGCTGACAAGCATGGACGGTGCTTCTCTGATAGCTGCTCTGGCAAGCTGCAGAATCCAAACACAGACCACTCTGTGTATGGCTGGCCATAGCAATCTGTTGGCATTATTTGAGGGCCTTCAGAAATATGATGATCAATGAAGTTGCCTGGATTTTGATTGCATGTCGTAGGCCCTGTGACCTGGCTATATGTGGAAGCAAGCTTTCTGGCCATGTATTGCATCATTCATTACTTTTGTAGCGTTCAGCTCACACGGTTCTCCTTCTTATGTTTGGCCTAATAATGACTCACACGCGAGGAATGAACATAGACGAGCACAAGCGCATGTCGGAAACTCGGACCTCCAGAGAACCAGCCGGACCATGCATAATTATGGGAAATGATGTCTGAAAGCGAGTTGTGAGAGCCACCATCGGCAGTTCTGTCATCGAAGAAGATCAGCCTCTTGCACACTCTGGGGATCTGGGGACGTGCACCCTGGCGGGGATACCATTGGCCAGGGAACTGACGCTCTTGCATGCTTGGACATGCGGTTATCTGGTTTTAATGCATTGGATCAATTTGGATGCCAAGAGTACTGTGCATACCCGTCAAGAGCTACTCAATCCGCAAACGCTTAGCAGCAGGGAGCCCTATACTGTCACATTCCAGTATGTGAAGGGCTCGCTGCTCAACAGCACAATCATGCAGCACAGAGGTTATCATGGTCGCAATGTGAAGTCGAATGGTGTGCACAAATTGAAGAAAACTTGATGAAATGAGTTGCTGCCCATACTGTCTTGCAATTTCGGTTCAGCTGGTGCATGCATAGGGAATGCTGCGGTGGGACCTACATAACATGTAGATTACCAAGACTGCTAGCAAGAGTATAATAATATTATAGTAGGTATGCACGCTTAGTGCTGGCCGAAGAAATCCAACCTCACGAATATAATAGTGGCGGGCGCTACGCAGCCCTAGCACTACACATACTGGTCTGTGCACTCGAATGCGGCGCTGCTTTATTCACGAGGTTGGGTTTCTCTGGCCAGCACAGTACAATCATGTACAGTCATGTACATTTTAATATCAATAAGAATGTACGTGACTGTACATCATTTTACTGTGCTGGCCAGAGAAATCCAACCTCATGAATAAAGTAGCGCCGTGTTCGAGTGCACAGAACAGCATTATGTACTGTCGTGGACATGGAAATCCGGTCGCACGTCTAGCGGCCCCAGGGCGCTGGCCATGCAGCCATGGCATGCATTATTACGCGCTGCTGCATGGTCGCATCGTATCAACATGTGCGCCGCATGCAACGACTTCGTTATGTACACGCTGAGGGCGCCGGCCCCGGTCAATCGACTGGATTTCCATGTCCGCGACAGTACATACAGGGCTGGCAACTGAAATCCGACCCCCGGGCGGTGGGTCGGATTTCAGTTGCCAGCACTGTATAATTATAGTGCTAGGGCTGCGTAGCTTCGAGTGCAACTTTTCGGCTATGGCTATGCTGAGACCTCACTTCCTATTCTCTCCGTTTTGCTTCTGTTCCGATCTCATCCATCCCAGTGGTGGTTCGGTACTATGGTGAGTTTGATCTTGCGGTTCAGGGTCAAGGTACAATTGTGTGATGATTGTTGTTGTTTTACCTTCTCTACATGAATGATGCTGAGGATCACATACCTGCTGGGGCCCAGCTTGCTGGACACGTTGACGACACCACCTTATACAAGTGCATATCGACCCATACTGCCGTACCCGAAGATGTTACCATCCTCCAGCTTGCTGTGAATGCGCTGGCAGACTGGGGAATAGCCTGGCACATTTGGTTCGGAACCTACAAAGTCTCAGTCCCTCCTGATTCTCCACCATCGCAACACAGTCGTCGTCCCACCGATTGTATTCCAGGGCACAGTTGTTCCGGAAGTCGACCAGCTGAAGCTGCTAGGTGTGCTGTTTGACCAACACCTGTCCTTCACAGCTCAAATCAGGCAATTGGCTATTCGAGGCTCGCAGCGTCTCGGCTTTCTCCGGAAAGCCTCACGAATGCTGGACTCCAGGTGCCGTGGTGTGATCTACAAGGCCTTTGTCCGTCCGGTCCTGGAGTACGGCATGCTCGTGTGGATGAGCGCTGCACCCACCACTCTGGCTCGCCTCGCTGCCATCCAACGCCGTGGCCTTCGCCTAATCGGTGATGGGGCCTACCTCCCTTGCTTGGACATCCGCAGAATGGTGGGAGCACTCTGCTTTCTGTACAAGCTCCACTTTTCAACTGGCCCAGACATAGGCATGGGCGGGTAATGCTACTTTATTTGCTGCGATAATGCTAAAGGCAGTGCTCATAATATTCAAGGCCAAAGCGTACAAACTAACTTACACATCAGTGAGCATGTTGTCTGAAACAATCCACTGAGAAGGTTGATTTGCAACGTCAAGTCTCTGGACGAAGCAGGACGGTTTCAGATGCACGATTTTCGGAACTGGACCTAGCCAGCTTCATGCATGACACCGTTGTCGACCGGCTTGTAATGCAAATTTTGCATGCGAAATGGTGTTATAATGCCAGCATTGTGCCACCTGGAAAAAAGGGACCATAATGCTAGCATTACCCGCCCATGCCTACCCAGACATGCTCCTCACCCTTCTTCGACCCCGAGCGACCAACACATCACGCCATAGCCGATGCACACATCCCTCACACCAGTTTCAGCTCACTTCCACTCTTCCGCTCAGAGCACGGAATGATGTCCTTCGGTCCTTCCCTGACGCTGTTGTGGAGGTCTGGAACCAGCTCCCGCAGTGCGTTCTGCTGAACCAGCCAACAAGGAAAGGACTGCAGACGTTCAAAGAGAAGGTCAACGCCCACCTGCGCCTTATCCCCTGGGAGTGGGCAACGGGCAGGCTATGAACCACAGAAAAAAGACGAAAAAAAGCTCTATTAAACTCTGTTCCCTCCTCAATTCACTTCTTTGACTCTCTGATATTGTGCATACTTTTCCCCGTAATCCCCAGTTATCTACCCCCCCCCCCCCCCGCCCTGCGTATTTTCTGTAATCTTTTGTTTTTGTGGAGCGCTTGGGTTGCAATGAAGCCGTGACCCTACGACAAAGCCTTCAAAGGATGTACAAGCCATCCAGGTCGCACACTACGGGAGGTCATGACCGTACATATCTCTGAAACCCGTAGGATTTGTCGTACACCGTACATTTCGTGTGGGACAGGGACTGTGCATGTCACATGGGCCATCGATTTCTCTATCTTCTCTCCTCTCTTCTTGTCGTTTGGCATTGGCGGATAAATGCTCGAAAAGGTGGCAGAACCACACAAACCTTATGAAGTTATGGCGAACAATTCCTCGAATTCTGCTCCATTTCTTTATCCACATACCAAACATGCATGAAACTTAGAGAGAAAGTACCGAATTCTGCCAATTTTTCTGCCGGCATTATCCGCATACCGGTATGCCTACTTAGGGCCGGGTTCCACTGCGGCTCCGCTGCCCCGCTGCTCGTCTTTCGCGGCTTGAAACGTCATCATTACCATAGTGACCGCGGCTCGAGCTGGAGCAGCGAGTCCGCGGCTCACCGCGAGCTTTTGCTACGATTCTTGACCAAAAACTGCGAGCCGCGGTCGCGCCTCGACCTGTTTCCCGTACTTTGCATTGTTTTGTACGCCAGAATTTTAAAATTCAAATTTTAATTCGCTGCGCAGGCCAGAACACGAGGATTTGTTTGATTTCGCGCGCGCAGGCAGGTGGAACGTCATCAAAAAGTGTGGACCACGACCGCGGTACCGCGAATGGCGAGTGACAGTGGAACCGCGCTGCTCCGCTGCATGCAGCCAAGTGCCGCGGAGTAGCGGAGCCGCGGAGCCGCAGTGGAACCCGGCCCTAAGGGCTACTTGTCGTTGTCTCCCGCTTCTGGGAGCGGCGTGGCCGCTGTGCAATACATACAGTCCTTTCCCAAGTACATAATGTAGTAGTGGTACTGTAGTGGGGCCGGAACGTCGTTATGCAACATACCATAACCTTGTATAGGCACATTTAGGGTACCCTGTAGTGTAAGAAGGCCTGTACTGCTGTGCCTGTAGCTGTGTTGATTGCCCTGATAAAACACTATACTAGTAATAGAAAAGCTGACACTGTGACAGGATCGCTTTTCTAAATGCCCATACAGCGAACATCAGACGTCAGACATGTAGCCTTTTGTAGGACGAAGAATACGGAAGATGACGACGCCATATTATAATAAAGCGGCGGACATGACGTGATGTCAGTTGTACCGTACACACTGGCGCAAGACTTATCCGGTACAACCTTGCTATGACGTAATGGCAGTTCGAGGGTGGTACCGGTACGGGTGTATGTACGGGTCTGATATTTTTTGATCTGCATGATCGCCTGATCTTGAATGAGAAAAGCAAACAATCATACTGAAATCAAAAAATAGAGCAAGTACGAGTACTGAAGTAGAGCATCTCTTGGGCTTGAGCTTGCAGCTGTCAGGACAGTGGTTTCCAATCTTCCTTCGTCTCTTCTTACAGTTCCACTGAGCTGTTAGCATTTCTCTTCCTGTCTTGAATATCGCATCTTTACAATGTCTCTTTACCCTTCTCTGGAGGACATGATGGTCCATAGCTCGGGTGCTGTTTCGGTAGGTCTGCGAGCTGTGCTAGAGTCAATACAATGTATGTACTTGCAGTGGTTGGTGATGTCGTGCTGATGGCGATTCTCCCCTGGCTTTCTACCATGCAGAGCCCTGCAGCCGCGCCCAGTGCTCAGCCATCCATTGTCACTGCCCCGCCAGCAGCAGCGGTGGCCAGCAGCAGTTGCCTTCCCAGGTACCCATCTCTGTACCCAAGTCTGTCCGATATGGGACTGGACCTCAGCCCAGCTGTACTGGAAGAGCATGCTCTGGCAGTGGCACAGTTTGCCCCCGCCCAGGTAAGTGTTGGTGGTGTGTGATGGCGGTGTACACACACACACACACACACACACACACACACACACACACACACACACACACACACACACACACACACACACACACACACACACACACACACACACACACAACACACACGCACGCACACACACACACACACACACACACACGCACACACACACACACACACACACACACCTGTACTTGTTGCTCACTGCCAAAACTGGTCACGTGGGTCTCCCCGAGAAAGGAGAGAGAATCAAAAGGAATCTTGGAAAGATGAATCAATAATTGAACTGCCCTACAGCCGACACCCCCTGAAATCCCCAAACTCTGGGTGGACTTATAAATGATCCCACTTATGGGCTCACCACGCCTCAGTAAGTGGGTGAGGACAAGGTGCAGAAAAGGGATTGCCGGCATCAGGGTATCCGTCCCGGGATCCAATACACACACACACACCATGTACCATGTACCATGTATACGCCCGTTGCAGGAGAAGCACGCAAATCTTCAAATGCACTGGATGTGTACCCACAGATTTCTCTTTATAGCAACGATAGGGGATCTGATTCTGATTGAAACAGATCAAGACAAGCGCCAGATAACTGTCTAATCAACACAACTGGCGAAGCCATGTGAATCGACCCCCCAATGCACACTTGGTCTACACCACACGGAGTACATCGGAATAGGACGGCCAAGACAGTCACCTATGCACACCCTACACTTGCTGGGGTAACCAATATAGACAGCACGCTGCTTTGATAAAAGCAGACACTAGATGCACTGGTACCTTGAAGTGAAATTGGAGTTATGTTACCAACCAGCCTCGGCAACTGGGTACTGGGAACCCAGGGCCAACAGACGTACCAACAACCTCAGCCATGAAAGCTTTTATAGTAACGACACACTGGATTGTGGAGCCGAAACTACAGTCCATTCAGAAAAGATGAGCGCTGGCTTGGGAGAGCTCCCGTATTTGGCGATTTTGTGGTACACTATGCAGTGCCGCGAGATTCGAAACTTGAAAAAGGGTCCAAAAAAGGCACGTCAACTGGGGCTCGAACCGCAAATGTACTGTTATGCAAGTGGAGTGAACGGCCTGGATTTTCATGGTTTTTCTCCAATTCAGTGCTTTGGGGACAAAACCTGGCCGAAATCCTATTCTTGTTATGGCTTGCTTTTTGGAGAAATAGACTTCAAAAACACGGCTGGAAGAGCATTCCATGGGGATTGCCAAAAAAATCGTGCCGAAAACTCAAAAATTTGCCCCATTTATGGCCAAAAGCTAGGATATTTTTTTCTGAATGGACTGTAGTCCAACTTCCGAAATGCTTTGGCAAGAGGGTAGCCTTCCGACAGGTTGGACACACACACACACACACCATTGACCATTTGACGCCCATCGCCGGAGGCGATGATAGCGATGCTACAGCAGAAGCCATAGCAGCTTGTGCTGGGATTGCACCATTCAACAGCTTTCAAGGCTAAAGAATTGACCGCCACTACGAGGTGATTTGGCTTTTTTTAACATGGTTGTAAAATGACGTTTTTTCAGTCACTTCTAGACAAGCTACGTCCAAATGAATTGTTGCAAGTGGAAGTGCTATCCTTCATGCCCGTTGTGT